AAATTAATATAATGCTCTATTAAATAATATAAATAAATCCTATTTATTTATTATTGAGCACTCTTATACGTTCAAGAGTTTTTTTGTATTTTATTGCAAATACAAAATATCATACAATATATATATATATATATATATATATATATATATATATATATATATATATATATATATATATATATATATATATATATATATATATACTTGATTCGTTTATTTCAAAAAAATAGTAAATAAAATTATACTGTCAAAAGTTAGCAAACTTTTAAACAATTCTTTAGTCATGTATAAAATGCTTTTACAGTTATCTCGGGAATCGGAAGCTTGTTAAAACAACTTCTTTGAAAACCTCTCTGCACAATTATTTGTTTCAATATGAGCTGTTAAAAAATTAAATTTAACTGTTTTTAATATGTTATCAAACTCTTACAATTTCTCCCAACACTCTTCCGATAAAAAATGTAATTTTCACCATCGAAGGTAGAAAAACATTACCTTTAATTTTATAATCGACGTTTATTTAAAAGTTTTAAAATGTATTTATAATATATAAGCGCTTGCTTATGATTCATGTAATTAATTGATAACATTCCTTTAATGATTGATAAATAAATTATACAAAACTATTAAATAATATATATATATACATATATATATATATATATATATATATATATATATATATATATATATATATATATATATATATATATATATATATATATATATATATATATATATATATATATATATATATATATATATATATATATATATATCAGGGGTGGACTGAGGCTTGAAATTGGCTAGAGAGTTTTACATTTATCTGGACCACATCAAATAAAATCCAATTAAATTTAATTAAATGCTCTTCCTGGAAAAAAAAACAAATAAAAAAATGCGGGTAATAAAAATCAATTTAATTTTAAGAATGTGATTAAGATGATACCAATACTCTTTTTAAATCTAGCAATTAACAGTTTTTTAAGCAGATAATTTGTTGAAGTAAGCTCTTCAATTATTTTGTCTGCATCTAGTTCCCAAGTAGCAAACAATATGGGCGCAATATTGGCGCGATATTGTTTACAATATTGGCGCAATATAGTAAACTATATCGCGCCAATATTGCAATGTCAACATTTTGCCAATATTGGCCAATATTGGCGGTACAACATTGCGCCAGTATTGTAAATTCAATATTGGTTAATATTGGCGGTACAATATTGCGCCAATATTATAAATTCAATATTGGCCAATATTAGCAAAATGTTGACATTACCATATTGGCGCGATATCGTTTACAATATTGGCATAATATTGTAAATAATATCGCGCCAATATTGGAGATATAATACTGGCCAATATTATATGTAGATAATTAATGCTTTATGTAATATAATATATAAGTTATATTACATAGAACATTGTATTTATTTATATATAACTTTTTTTTGTATTTATTTTACATATTAGATAGAACAAGTTAAACACTAAAAACAATATTACACCAATATTGGCCAGTATTATATCACCAATATTGGCGCGATATTATTTTCAATATTGTGCCAATATTGTAATGTTAACATTTAAAATGTTTTATATTATAATATATTATATCAGGTAGAACATTTTATATTTATATATTCTTTTTTGTACTTATTTTATATATTAGATAGAGCATTTTATTACATTTGAAGAAAGAACAAGATAATACAGAACGGACGAACTGTTTAACCCGAAAGAAAATTTTTTTTTGCCGAATCTTTGGCTTCGGCAAAAAATTTTAAGTAATTTAATTTATAAGCTATTGTTGTACAAGTAATAAAAATATGCTAATTGCCAGTGTTTAATTAAGTTGTAAATTCAGGACTACAGAGTTAAAGTTGGAGTCTATACCATATACTTAGTATTATTTACTCCCAAATGTCTTGTTATGGAGGGGATGATAATAAATAAGTAGAAATATTTTGAATATAATAGTAAAATTAAGGAAGATCCTCATACACTTTGAAGGCTTCCAAGTGTGACTTTAGATGAACTGAGTCAGCATTTTTATGCAGAATAAAAACCTTATAATTTAAAACAAATTAAAACTTTTAAAAAAAAAAATGGAAAAAAAACCTTAATTTGTATTATGTAACGAATTTATATTAATTTTTGTGTGGGATTACCGCAAATAGAACAAAAATTTTATTTAACCATAATAATAAAAATTTACAAATTTTCATTGTAAGATTACAGAAATTGTTTAGGTGTCACTTATATAGTTACAAACTAGTCAATGGAGTGACACATAAAAAACATAAAGTTCTCAACAACAAAAAAGGAAGAAAAGCAAATGAAATATAAATGAGGAGAATAAAAAAAGAAAAAAAAAGTCAACCAAAACTATATAAATTAAAAGAAAAAGACAAACAATGATAATAATTATCCTTGCCCTTTTATTAATATTATGAATTCTTCTAAATTGAATTTATATATTAAACATATAAACTTATATTCTGGTTTCTTCTTATGATATGAAGATTTTTAAATTTTATTTAAAATAAATTAAAGGTTAAAGCTTTGATTACTTTAAGCTCTTATATTTATCATCAAAATTTATTTAAATTAAATAAACAATTTAAATCAAATAAATATCAGCCTGCTCAGTTCCTGTTTATTTATAAATATAAAGTAAATAATAATATAATTATAAATAAAAAATTTATAAAGTATTCTATTTATTATTTTATTTAAAGCTCACTCTACTGAGTTGTTAGATTACTATAGAAGTTTTTGTCACAGATAGTTAATATTTGATTTCAGATACTGATGCAGATTTATCCATTACAGAAACAGAAGAATAATGAATACTATAGTTTCAGAGTGTAAAAGATTAATAGAAGCTTAAAAAAATGTTATGTAGTGTAAAATTAAAAATAATAAAAAAACAACAACAATAACTTAAAAGTGTGTAAAAAAGAAGTTAAAAAGAAATCTATCAATTGTACTTTTTTTTAGCAGCAGGTTCACAACAGTTATAATGGAATACAAAATGGTCTTAACTTGGGTTTTTTTTTAGTTTAGAAATTGTTCGTTTAATGAATACAGAGAAGTAAAAAAAAGATATTGAAATAAATAGCAATAAAAAGATAAAGTGTGTTTGTAAGATTTTTTATGTTGTAGATACAATTAGATCAGCTAAGAGTGTTTATTTAGAGAAAGAGTGTTCAAGTGTAAAAGATAAATTTACTTGAGTAATATTCAGAGATTTTTATCCACTTTTAACAAAAGGTGCGTTAAAAATAAAAATAAAATATACAGCACATGAAAAGATGCGTAACAGTAATTTATGGGGAATAAAATTTGAGGATGTTCAGCTAGCATACGATAATTAGATAGAGCAAACAAGATAATTAAATAGAGGATTAAAAATTAGATGATTAGATAGAGGATTAAAGAGAAACGATGTTTACATAAAGAACAGTATGGCTATAAGAGATCAAAAAAATAGCAATAATCTTAGAAGAATATTGGGAATATTTGGAAATATATGTGAGTTACTGATATTGTGCACTATATAACATTAATATGGTTTGCACACAGAAAAAGTAAAACTAGAAGTAGGAAAATTTGAGGAAAATGTTTCAAAAAAGCTTAAGTTTAAAAAAAAAACACTAGGTGCGGTGAAGTATCAGAAACGAAATAATGAGAAACTTTCAAACAGGGGCGCTGAGAGCTTTTGCCCTGCCTGGAGCAGCAACCCTGACTTGTGGCATCATTTTTATATATTTTTTCTATATTATTAGTCAAATATCTTAGTTTTGGAACCTTATTTGTTTTACACCCCTGTTGATCTGAATGCTGATTAAATTTTAAGCATATATAGTGCCGAAGCTTCGGCTTCGGCAAAATTTTAGCTTCGGTACATCCCTAAACGCAGCCACAACAGTTGCAAAGCTCTGCTCAGAAGAGGAAGATATCGGTATAAAATGATTCGAACTAAATGGCTCAATATATCGAACAGTTGTGGGTTGTAAAATATTTCGGCAACTGATGGATATGTCTCCTCAGTGTCACTTGTATTGCAAACTGCTAACTTTTTAGTTGGTGGCATAGACAATTCTTCATCACTTTCAGCAGCCGTTTCAATGCTTGATGTAAATTCTAATGTTTCTATTCGTTCTACAGCAGTTTCATAACTGTCTAAAAAATTTAAGGTAAAGATTTAAAGTAAAATCACAAATATATATATATATATATATATATATATATATATATATATATATATATATATATATATATATATTTTATTTATATATATATTATTTATATGTATTTAAATATATTTTAAAATACATATTTATATATTATACCTAAAAAAGTAGCCATTTTATTGAAAATCTATGTTTCTTTGTAGAAACCTGAAGATTCAGGATCCCATACATCGTAATATTTTGAATTAGATGGTACAAAGTCTTCAGGAGCCCCACATAAAAATGTATTATATGAAAGTGCTCTTAAATTGTATTAAAAAAAAAAAAAAGTGTTTCAAGATTTTTTGTTTTGAGTCTAATACATTCTTGTTGTATTGATTTTGAAACTTAAAACTCATGTAGACTTGTATTTGAGCTTGGAGGTGAATTTATATATTTTTTTATATTTACATTTAATTATAAATAAAAAATAATATAAATTTTATTAATTATTAACATTTAAGAAAGAATCTCAAATAAAAAGATATTTATTTAAAATAAAAATCACTATTCTAATATAAAAAAGAATAGCTTTTATAAAACTATTACCATTTTAAATTTTTTAATATTTTTTTAATTACTTTTTTAATATATTTTTAACTATTTAATATGATCATTTTTATCACTACTATATTATTTTTATTAATGTTATTATTATTGTAATTATTATTATATCTTCTTATTAATAAGTATAAAAAATAGTGATGAAAATTATTAAAGAAAAGAATTAAAGAGGTATTGGTATTTTATTAGTTAGGTGTAATTTAATATTATTCTTAAATAAATTATAGGCAAATTATATATTTTCAAAATAATAAAAATAAAAAAACATTAAATGAAAAAAAGAGCTAAAAATTTAACAAACCTTAAAATAACTTTTTCCAAATAGCTTTGGTAATGGACTGATAAAAAAATACTCTTTTTATAAATAAGTCAAAAATAGACAGAAGACACAAAAAGTTGGAGTTTAAAAACAAAAATAATAGTTGTTAGGAAATGCAAATCGTTATGAGCTTTTGTTAGTTTTGTTTAAATGCAACACTTAAAAAAAGAAAACAAAAATTAATTGGTACTAACTATTTTCGTATTCATTTTTAAATAAAAAGATTTAGTTAACTGGCATTCTGCAGTAAATGTACAGTCAATTGTAACTTTACTTTTGAAGATTAAAAAACTACTATAAAATTAAACTCAAGCTAAAACAAAATCGACTTTAGTAAATATAATTGTTCTTTCTTTAAAAAAATTATAACAATTTATAACATTAAAATAACACCCTAACATTTAGTTTGTTTGCTAGCCCCGATGAAGTAAAGCAAAACTAACAAAATAGGTTTCTCTAGGCAATAATAGGCATTTTTTCACAATTGAAGTTATAGGAAAAGCAAAAAATTGATCAGATAGTTGACTAACTTTGAAAATATTGAGCAAAGAAGATTCACAAGGGTAGGTATAGAAATTTTCTTTAAGTCCAAAAACACGTGTAATTATCATTATATTGTCAGCATCAATAACATTTTCAATAAGGACAATTTTACCACCATCAAGTAAAGCACAGTTGTTGGAATTTGCAGAAAAATATATGAAACAAGCATACTCAACCTTTAGATATTGCTTTCCATAGTACTCTAAAGTAGGACAATTTCTGTGTAATTTTTTAAACTTGGTATCAGGTGCATATTGCGACTGATAGCATATGTGTTGCTATTAATTCTTTCTGACAAACGTCGACACAACTGCTGCAATGGCATATGGCCACTTCGTAACTATTGTTTCATAATGCCTAAAGCATTTTCAAAAGGAAATGCACTATACTCATCAAGTGAACCATACTGTCTTACATCATCACAAATGTGACAAAGGCTCTGCATTGTGTAGTTTATTGAGCTGCTGCCATAGAAATCTGGCATTTGCATGATAAATATATTTAACAATTTTTCTGCATAATCAACATGCGTCTAGCACATATTTGGATTAGCTAAAATATTAATTGCGACATGCAATAACATAAAATGCTGGTACAGATTATTGGTAAGATGGCTTCGTAATACTAGAGGTCCAAGGTAACACAAAAATAAACAAAATTCTGTGGCTTCCCATCAATCAATGTTTTTTAGTGATCTTGGTTTACGTGCAAATTCAACAGTAACAAATGCTGCCAAATTTTATTAATCCATTCAAAATAAAATCAGCAATTAGTGTGCTTATTTTTACTGCACGTTTTCCACAAAGCCAATGCAGAAGTAACCTTCGTGTGGCACCAAGACAAAATAGATGCATATATTCTAGTGGAAATTGAGAGATGTGACCGATATTAAGCTCTAACAGTGGGGGTACTGCATCTGGTTTGTGATGCTGAACTTGCTGGAATAATGCAAAGGAAGCATCTGTTCTCTTCATTGTATTTACATCAGGAAATACAGTTCTATTATCTACCTTAGTTCCCTTTTGAATGCATCGTTCACAACCATAATACCCATTATGTCCTTTTATACATTTAACAAAAGCACGTGCAGGTGCATCACACACAAAGCCTTTAGCATGAATGGTAAAGTGATTTTCACCTATAAACAAACCTTGTTCCTTCAAAACATTGAATTCAGCTACAAAACTAGCTAGAAAAATAGCTGAACTTTTAGGTTTGCTGTTGCCACAAAATATGCTAACTACAAATGGTTTACAAATATTTTCACCAATTGTAACACTGTAAAGTATTGGCCAAAACTGTTTTCTAGAGCTCTTATACAAAGACAATCCATCAATACTAAACAATAAACTAACTTTGCAGCTTTCAATGCTTTTAAACACTAGCAAACTAATTAGATGATGTTTCAAACCAAAAGAAACAAACTCTGCCGTTTGCCCAAACATGTCTTGCATGATAATAATGTCAGAACTGCTTTTTATTTTCAATAAGGTTTTACTATCTTTGGGCAAATCTGGATGTTGTTTTGACAAGATTTTTAGTAAATCTGATAAAGCACTATGTGTTACATTGTGTTTGACTGACCAGCAAACAAGTTTCAAAGTAACTTCATCCTGAGCCTTCATTGTCACTGGAACATGAATGATAGTAGCCATGCTCATCATCAGTTATGTTACAGTCATCATCAGAATTATTAGTCAAATTCGAGGGTTGGTTTTCATCAAAATATGATATGTCACCAAACTCAACATTTGAGGATTTTAATGTGTCTCTAGCCAAATAAATATAAGAATTTTGATATAACATCTTATGATTAATAGACTTATCACTGAAGTTTATTGCATTTTCACAGTTAAGTAATTCATTCGTATTTTCAACATTACTTGTTGAGTGAATTTCATTTGCTTCACTACTCTTCTAATATAATGTGATTTAGCAGATCGAGTTGTTTTTATTGATTTTTTTATTACCTATAACATTATATTACACTTAAGCATAAAATAAAATGCTATATAAAATAAAATTATATATATATATATATATATATATATATATATATATATATATATATATATATATATATATATATATATATATATATATATATATATATATATATATATATATATATATATATATATATATATATATATATATATATATATATATATATATATATATATATATTTATACATATATTATTAAATCAAGATTTAATAATACCTCATTTAAAATTTATTCATTTACAAACTTATTAAAAGGTAAACTACATGACGTATTTGTTACTTAATTGAATATCTTTAACAAAATAAAATAGGCTTTACAAATCTTGCAGATGTAATTAACTCTAACTGTTTTTATATAAAAGTAAACTTACTATTTCAATCTTTATCTTAGAGCACAGAAATATTTTCCACTTCTTCTCGTGATACAATCTGTTTCTAAATGAACTGCCACCACTTCTTCTCGTGATACAATCTGTTTCTAAATGAACTGCCACCACTTCTTCTCGTGATACAATCTGTTTCTAAATGAACTGCAAGCACTTCTTCTCGTGATACAATCTCTAAATGTTCAATTAAAAGGATTTCTTTACTTTTACTACTTCTCGTGATACCTGTTTTTAAATAAATTAAAACCACTTCTTCTCGTGATTCATTCGGTAAATATTTTATTAAAAGTACTGTGGACATCAAAGGACAAAACTAAAGGACATTATGAATAAGCAATACAAGTTGCATGCTACTTTAGCATGCAACTTGCGTGAATAAAAGTGAAAAAATATACTTATATGCTAAACCATTTCTTGCATATGTTTCTTTTACTAAATTGTATTGAATCAAAACCAGGTAACAGCAAATGGTACAATTTTTGCAGGCAACAAATGACTTATGAAAATTTATTCCAAGTTTTTCAACCTTTCCTAAATTTTCTATCCCTAAGTCATACATATGACTTTGTGATAGATAGCATTAAAGATTCCGTTTTGGCTACGTATGTAGTCAAAACGGAGTCTTTAATGCTATCCCAGATCCAAATGAAACAGATAAGCTCTATACATAAACTTTCTGCTGTTGCTTATTCATCAAATGGCAATAGATGTTCACTCAATTTTTTTCGAGCAGTAGTTGGTATATTTTGAATTTTTAACTGTTCAAAGTTTTCAAGGCTTAAAAGAGAGAAATTAGCATAAAACTCTTGACTTCCTTGAAAACACATGCTCATGCTTTCTATGATGGTTTTAAACATTACGTCATAAAATTTTACTTTATAAGAATTGAGAATATCTAGAGGAAGTTCCAGTTGGCCTGAACCATCTTTATAAGGAAATAGTTTTTTCTGTTTAATTCTCTTTTCTAGCAGAGTAATTTTTCCTTCCTTGTCATGTAAATCAAGTTTTTTTATCAACTTTACTGACAAAATTATTCTTAACCATTAATATCAAACTCTGTAGAATAAGTTTTTAGTTTTTCTGCAGTTTCGTTATCACGTTTCGTTATCACGTTATCATGCTTGTCGTTATCAATCAAAATATCCATACTAATGGTTTGCAAATAATTCGACTGTGGTGTTGTTAACTGAAAAATACGTAAATATATCTGTGTAGTTAAAATCGTTTCATATTTCAGCAGTCCATCTTTAAAGCCTATCGTCTTTACACAAACATCAGGTATAAAACTTAAATTGTTTTAGATGTGAAACAATGTAATTACAAGTTTAACGTATAAACCACACTCTGGATATGCAAACTCGACAAATATTTTGTAAGTGCAGCATCCTTTGACCACCAACGTGTTTCGCCAATAGTTGAAACCATGCGATGGTGTTCGTCAGTTTGATTTTCTGCCAAAAAAATGTCCATTCTCTAATATGATCTACGAATAAAAACTGCTACTTCATTCAATAAATTAAATAGTGAAATATTAGAAAGTACGGTAGTACAAACAGCTGACATAACCAAATTAAGAACATTAGCATAACACCAAAAATGCATTTGGTTGGCAATTTCTTTGAACATCCATGCTGCGAATCCTTTGTATTCTCCATTCATGTTGGCAGCTTCGTCAGTTCCATAACCGATGCACTTTAATATATCAATGTTTAATGCACGCAGAGTTTGTGACATTATATTTAATAAATATTCCCCAGTAGAAGATTTGCATTCAACCATTGTTAATAACCTTTCGTAAATTCGGTCGGTTACATATCAACAATAAACGAGCATTGATCCTTCGTCGATATAGCTTGTGTTAAATCAATTTTCAGCAAAAGCATACCAGCTTCGTTAACTTCTTAGGCAATGGTTTTCTGTATCAAGCAATCAAGCAACATATAATTTGAATTAGTTTTGCGATTGTGCTCTTGAAGAGGAAAGTTACCTTAGAAACTTTTCTAGTACTTCCTGTTTCTTTTCGGTTTGCATTTTCTCAATACAAGTATTTACATGTTAGTTTAGACAGACGTTGTATTTACTTACAAGCAACACTATTTCTAAAATGTTCCCATGATTAAGTAATTCATCTAACAACGTGTATGTCACTTTAAACTCCTAAAAATCTGTAATATAGACTACGTTTATCAATTAACTTTATGATTTCTATCACTTGTAACATTTCCTGTCGTCACTTGTAAACTTGTTCTCGTCGTACTGACAATTGTGTAGAAAACAGTAAGTTTTGAACATTATATTTAAAAAAATATTGGAAGTATGCTTCTGTTGGTTTGTTATGACATGTTGATTTTTTATGTTCTTTTACTCTTTGATAAATGTGTTTTCTATTTATCATTCGTGTTACAAAAGAGTTTAGTACGTCAATGGAAGAAAATGCTAAGCATAATAAACAATATAATGCATTATCGTCTTCAGAATAAGATTAATATTTACAGTTCGTGCCATTATGTCATACAAAAGATTTCATAATAACCGGATTTGCAGCAGTTTGGACAGGATAAACTTCAAAGAATTTGTTAAAAGTTTTGATGGTAGATGAGAAAACCATTTTATATGTTGTTCTGTTTGATCAACAGCAATATTAACAATTTATTCGCTTACGGATTCTATGCAGTTAGTGTTTGGATTGATTTGACTCTGAGTGTGAGTTTCATTTCTATATATTTTAACAAAGGTTCAACCGCTACCTCTTTAATACTTAATACTTAATAAACCGCTACCTCTTTAATACTTAATACTTCATCAACTACCATAGTATCATTATGCACTGTTTCTACCGGTTGATGTACATGAATAATATTCAAGGTGACCAGAGCCTGTTCAGCGTTTTTTATATTTTCATGAGTTATGCTTGTACTGGAATCTCTTAAAAATGAAATCACTTATTTTGAGAAATTTATTTCCCGCTGATTAAATCAGTTTTTGTTTTTTATCACATAATTTCTCACCTCCCTCTGTATTTTTGCATTCACTCATTTAAAATTTTTGACAGACCTGATTTAAGCCGGTCCAAATTCATACTTGCCCATCAGGAATTCTCCCGGTGTACCCTAGGGCCAGTCCGCCACTTGAGCAACCCTTTGGTCTTTTAACAAGCTTATTTTAATTGACCTGAGAAGTTTCACATTTGAACGAGGAACATCTATCACGTACTTAAAATTTAACTGTATCATTTCCAATACGTGTAATACAATGAATGGACATTGTAAACTAGTTGATCCTTGCCATATAGTTCACCAAATAAACTGCAAAAAATAAGTTAGTAGCTGACGAGCAAAATTAAGATATTTTTTCAATAAAATAAAATATTATAAATTAAAACTGAAACTGTAAGATCTAAAAAGTTTGAACAAATTTTTTGCTGAGCAATTCTTTTTAAACAACTAGACTAGTGTATACTAATGGAAACTTTTTCACCATGTCAAAATTTAATTCAATTTAACACACCACTAAGATGTTCAGAATGCTTTTGACGACAAAAAAACTGAATCAGCGTATAAAAGTAGTGAAATATGTGGAAGTATTACCTTGCCACATTACTCTCTTTTCTGAACACAACGCTCTTATCAGTTATAACTTTTGTGTCCCTTAATACACTTAACAAATGCTCTAGCTAGTGCATCACATATGATAACAGCAAGATTGATTTTGTACTCAATATTTTCAAAGATAAAACAATCTTTTGCAAGAATTTTGAAAGCTAATAAAAAAATATATACACAATTAAAAAAGGAATTAGATTTTTGGGCACCACCTTTTAAAAAATTTCTAATTTAATCCTTATTTGGGCCCCTTAAAATTTTGAGTCCTAGACCTAGGCTCTGACAGCAACATCTATAAATAGCAACAACCTTTGGCAAATTTTAATTAAAATTTTTTACATATATGTATAAATTTTTAAAAACATACATACATACATTGTCACTATTTTAGATTTTCATTGAATAAATTCCTATATGTTTTTGTATAAAATATTTATGGAGTATTATTCTCTTTTACTATCAGCTATCAAGCTGATTAAACTTACTTGATCAACCCCAGCTTTATTCTGAACCTAATGAGTTTAAAGCTAAAGCTAAAATATCAGCTGCAACCCCTTTTTTTATAGACAAAATAGTTAATGTAATAATGATGTATTTACATTATGATAATACATGTGTTTTTTTATATCTAAATGGTTATTTTTTTATTTTATAATACACTTTTTGTTTACGCGTGTGTTTATATAATTAATATTTAAGAAAATATTGACTTTGGCCGAATATTCTTTAGATAATAATATTTTCTTATATTACTCTATTCGAGGTAATAAACAAGGGTAATATTTACTCCAATCATTATATTTGTCCCCAAAGTTAATGCAACTCTATCATACATAAGTCTCTCACTAATTTTAATAAAAAAAGTTATTACCATTATTATTATAATTATATTTACTAACCTCTCATTACTAATATTTATTAAAAATACATTCTGGTTGTTGAAGTCACTTTTACTCGTATCAGTATTGCAAATATTGTCAACAATCAGAATGCACCATGCAGAAATATTCTTAAACATGCTGCAAAATTCAAAATATACATAAGATACATATCATATAAGACCTATTACATAGAACTTAATATTTTTATCCCAACATTTTAAAATGATTATAAAAAACAAAATTAGTGTTTAACTTACTATAACTCAGTTATTATAAATATACACATGGTACCGATCTATATAATAACTATTATCTTTTTTGAGTAATTGTTACTTATGTTAAAGTTATCAAGTTAAATTGAAGTTTTATAACTAAAATTTGAATGCAAAACTTCATATCAATAAAAATTTTATTAGTATTGTAATCATAACTATTATATTATAAGTATTTACATGTATAGGTATTGTAAGTATAAGTTGTTACTATCTATATTAATAATATACAAAATAATAACTTATACTTACAATACCATAATATTATTATGAAATTACTGTTAATATTTCAAGTGTATAATTTTAAATCAAAGTCAAAAAATATAAATGGGTAAAAAATGTGGTCGATGCATCATAATAAAGCCACTTTTAGCATTTAAACGCCTAGTTATATCTTTATTTATATCTGACGGTAGGTAAACTTCGTTTACATTAGTCATTTGGCTTGCATAAAATATAGTAAAATTAATGGAAAAGAGTGGATCTGTAAAAACGATTTAAAAGATTTTAATTCTCTAAATATAACCTAATTAGCACAACATTCGCCTGTTTGCCCTTTTTAAATGTTTCTAACTAAACCAATATTTTAATTAAATTTAAACCAGTTATTGCAATCACTAGCATAAACAAAACTTTATATTTTGATCATTTTAAAAATGCAAACAGTGTCTCAATAAAATATTTAATACATGTTTAATAATTGCTGGAGCATATGTTAAACAAATATGTTAAACTTTGTAAATTTATTTAAAAAAACATATTAAAAATTATTTTGTAATGGTAATAAATGACATTTTAAACCTACATCTTTTTAATAGAGCTTCACATTGAAAAGATATTATTATTTTAAGTAATTATATTCTTATAAAAAATATTTTATAATTATTTTAAAATTTTTTTGTTTGTTTAGTAAAGTTAAATTATATTGTATAAGTAAACATTTTTGGTGAAATTGATAGATGTCATATTATATATATATATATATATATATATATATATATATATATATATATATATATATATATATATATATATATATATATATATATATATATATATATATATATATATATATATATATATATATATATATATATATATATATATATATTTAAATATAAATTCAATATTATATTACATCACACTTCAAAAAAAAGTCAATATTTAGTCATATTTGTTTGATAAAAATAATAGGCAGCAAATATTTAGATAAAGCCTTTACAAAAAGAAGTACAGAAAATGTCACAAATTTGTTGATCGATCTTTGAGAGATATTTATTCACAAAGATTGAGATATGGGCTCGGCTATAGCATCATAATAGAACATGTCACTGTACCACAACATAAACAAATAATAGCACACTTGCATATATGTATATATATATATATATATATATATATATATATATGTATATATATATATATATATATATATATATATATATATATATATATATATATATATATATATATATATATATATATATATATATATATTTAACTTAGTTGGTTGTAAACAATTTTAAATTTATTATTTTGGTATTGTATATAATTGTGGTATTTGGTATGTCATAAGAATATATATATATATATATATATATATATATATATATATATATTATATATATATATATATATATATATATATATATATATATATATATATATATTCGTATGATATTAGATACTATTTCATTTAAAGATGTATTTAACATTTACTTTAAAAGTTAAACAAAATAATTACTTAAACAACACTTAAATACTAAAAAAACATTTAATAAAAATTAAACAAAATTATCCAATCTCGAGGCAACAGCTTTCATCATTCTTCATTCTTTGCATTAAATATTTTTTATAAAATCCTTTTTTTGATAATTTTTTTAAGTCACCCAGTATTCTGAGCTACTACTTGAGAAGGATATTGTATTATTCTTTTTATAGCTGATATAATAAGCTAAATGATATTAACAATGAAAGTTATAAATTAATTAATAGATGATCATAGTAGAATACTCTGGTATTGTTCTCAAAGGAACAAAAAAGTTCATGAACATAATCTTATTGGGTCAATTAATCTTTTCTGTACAGTTTATTTTCAGTATAAGCTATATTTAAACTAACAATTAAAAAATGGATTTATTTTTCTTTGCTGAGTATATAACTTAAAACCACTTACCCACAATATAAAAGAAAAGCTAACATTATAAAAGAAAAAATATATATTTTAGACTTGGTTTTACAACATGGTTTACAAATAAATTCTATATGAATGTATTCGTTCAAAGAACATAAATAAATAGGTAATTAATATGCCAAGTTGATAATCAAAAAATCAGCTCTTTTCCCAAATAAAATGTATATTTTTAGTACAAGCAAGGTTCCACCTTGAATTACGTTGAGAGGGAACTGCTGCACCATATCCATTTTAAGTGACCCCAAAACACTGATATTCTTGTGATGATTTTTCTGATTTTTTTTTCCTCTACATGTTTTAGCAGTTAGTACCAATGAACATTAAAATTCATTAAACCATTATAGGTTCATCATAGGATTATTCCACTTTACAATCACATCCATAATGACTATTATAGAGATTAAGTAAGAGCTTTAGCTGGTGCGTCACAAATTAAAATATTTTACCTTTTACTTGTATGACTTTTCATTATTATAAATAATGTCATTTGCCATAAGGCGTCTTCCATAAAGTATGGATGCAGATATGGAAGGAGGTTTACCCAAAAACCTATGAATGCGTACTAGAGAGAGAAAGGTTAGAAACACCAAGTATTAACGTGGTGTGACTAATTATTATTCTCTATCTTTTTAAAAACTTGATTTCTTTTTTTATTAATGTAAACATAGAGTTTCTTGAGTTTAAAAAATTATTATTATGTTAAGTAACAAAAACAAAATTCATTTATGAGTGATGTCAAAATAACTAAAAAATT